ATGTATTTGAGTTTGGTCGAAATTAAAAATCATGCTCGTACCTGACCGGTTGTCTGGAAATGGAAAGCATCTACGGTGTATTTTTCTCAAAAACATATGACTGAAAACATATGATTTATTAAAATATAATTCATTTATAAAGAATATATAATATTATAAAATAAAATGTCTATCATACTTGGGCGTACAAAATTTTTGATTCTTATTCCCAAAACACGTAAAAATTTTAAGATTATATCTAACGATGGAAATTCACTCTCGTCTGAGTTCCTAGTCAGGAACGAATTAGAACAGATCTGACCGGTTGACAAGCAGCCAATTGCAAAAGCATCTGAGCAAAGTGTGTGACGTTCGTAATTTTGAAGTTTGCTATTTCTGTTTGGTTTCTTACATCTCTTTCTTTATGTGTATTTTGGCGGTGGTTAGCTTCAGCGATTTTCAACAAATTTTTTGTTCAAATATAATTAAAATGAAGTGCGCGGTAATCGGTTACAAAAACATGTACAACATGTTCGGGCGGAGCCGAACATTAAATACCCGGCGCAAGTATTAAATATATATTTTCCACCTTTCCGAATGCTACCGCTACATGATAAGCCGGGGTGTAAAATTTTTAATTAAATTAGCGTCGTTAAATTTCGAAATATTGAAATTTCAAGCATTTCTGAAATTTACCGTTATATGAAAAGCGGCCGTAATTTTAGTCCGATTTCAACCATTTTCAACGGTTTGCTTTTATGTGGCAAGCACAATAACCATACCGAGTTTGGTACAAATTGCTAGAATGGTAAGCGAGATACATATACATATGTGATCATAAGTGGGCGGTGCGACGCCCATTTTCCAAAATTTTTTCATAAACGTATTTCTTGGTAAAGAATTGTTGCAGCCATCAATTTTGACTATATTGGCTTTCATATTTACTGATTTATCGAGTATTTCGTATTTCTCTAAATTACCGTTATATGGGATGTGATTATGGTCCGATATTAAAAATTTTAAGCCATTTGGCATGTCGTACCAGGGCCAACCACTGTGCTAAGTTTGGAAGAAATTGGGGCGGTGATTACCAATATATACACATGTAACCATAAGTGGGCGTGGCCACGCCCATTTTTCAAAAATTTTTAATATTCTTATTTTTCGTCTAAAAATTATTGTAAATATCAATTTTGAGTGAATTATCTTCAGTAGTTACTAAAATATCGCAGTTTTCGTATTTCTGAAAATTACCGTTATATGGGAGGTAGGCGTGGTTATTGTCCGATTTCGCCCATTTTCAACACCATCCGTCCTATGCACAAAAGAAGTGCACTTACCAAGTTTCGTTAAGATATCTCAATTTTTACTCAAGTTATCGTGTGCACAGACGGACAGACGGACAGACAGTCACCGCTTAATCGATTTCTCTTTTCATTCTGATCATTTATGTAATGATTTATCTATATCTATCTCGATTCGTTTTGCCTGTTACAATCAACCGTTCTGTGAACAAAGTTATAATACCCTTGTGCACAAGTGCGCTCGGGTATAAAAATAATAAATTGGTTAGCACAAACATGCGCTCAAAAATTGCTTTAATTTTTTTCGTTGTGTTTCGTCTTCATATTCTTTTTTTACATTTGGTTCATTTCAAAGAAAATAACATGGCGCCGAAATTACAAACGTCAGCCAGAAAATTTATGTTTTCTTTTTCTTCATCTTGGCAGTGCTTGTGTAGTTGGATCATGAATACATAGTATCAGCTGAAGTAAATATAAAAGCAAACATTCAAAATTTCACGAAAAAGTTAAAAATATAAATTGTATGAAGTAATTGACCGAAAAAACACAACACAGAAATTTATGAACCACTTTTCGAGGGTGTTTCCGTGACTAGTTTGCCTCGAAAGCTAATCAGAGACGCGAAAAGCGCTATTCAAGTTTTGAGGGTTTCGAGGTTTACGAGCCTTTTTTTGAGTATAAGAGAATTCCAATTTATCGCTAACACTTTTACAACAAAACTTGAAACAAACAAAATGAACAGTTTTTTACGCCGAACTTTGAATTAACCCAAATTGTCCCAGATTAATTTTTTTTAGATTTTTCGGTTTCACCTATTTTTTATTTTCATTTAGAGAAAAACATTTGTGGATATGCAGTTCTTTTGGTGATGTTTAATTTTATTACATTGATCTTTATCGTGCTTATTTAGTTGTATTTATTTACTGGTAATTTTTTGAATAATTATTACATGTGTTTTAATAGATGATATATTCAAAAGTCAGTGCACACTAAAAACCTTGAAACGACCTTCTCCCATTACTCTCTCCGACTCATTCCTAATAACTCCGAATTCTCCACTCACTAGCTGCAAAAGCGGCAACCTTGCGCAAGCAAACAAACGTCAAGTGAAAGGCACTTGACACAAGACGAACAGCTGTCAATGACAAAGAATAAAATGACCAAAACAAGAAAAATAAAAAACATAAGGGTAAAATTGTAAGTTTGCGACAGTTCTGAATTTGATGGAGTCTTTTGCAGAGTTGGTTGTTTCATCGTTCTGGAATTAAAGAGGAGCTTATCATCAGCGATATATCTGCGTTAAAACGTGCTTTTAAATCCGTTCATGCTGCTCCCAATACTGCCCCATGGCAGTATTGAATTCCTTTGTGAGTTGTAGATTGCAGTGAATTGTAGATATTTGTGTCTTGTTGTATGAAATAAATAAATGTGTATCCAAATCATCAGGATCAGCTGTGAGTGGGCATAACGGGCGTGAGTTTAAACACGATTCAATGCGAATCAACACCGTTGCTAACTCTTCATACGTCATTCGAACGCATTGAACAATACGTTTGAGGTGATACTTGGTCGACTTAACGTTTGCTTCCCATATTCCTCCAAAGTTGGGTGCATATGGCGGATTGAAATGCCATTGAATCCCCTTTTGAGCTACTTGAGGCACTACGTCTTTTTCCACTGCTTTAGCAAAAGTTCGTTTATTTATTACATTGTCAGCGCCCAAAAAATGTGTGCCGTTGTCAGTGAATATCTCACGGCATAACCCACGGCGACCGATAAACCTGTGCAGTGCCATGAGAAAATGCTCTGTTGACATACCCGTAACGACCTCCAGGTGGATGGATTTAGTTGCTAAGCAAATAAATATAACGATATAGCCCTTATATGTAGTGTTACCTCTAAATTTCGACGACTTTAGTTCAAACGCGCCGGTGTAATCGATGCCAGTTGCTTCGAATGGTCTCGTTGGTCGATTGACTCGATGAAAAGGCAAATTACCCATCATTTGGTTTGATGTTTCCGGCTTGCTTCGAAAGCATGTGATGCATCTTCGAATTCTCGCGGCTACAGTTTGACGACCTTTAACCACCCAAAAGTGTTGGCGGAGATTTGCAAATGTGAGCTGTACGCCTCCGTGCAGAGTATTGTGGTGAGAATTGTTGATCAATAAATTGGTGAAGTGCTGTTTACTGGGCATGATGATTGGGTGCTTCTGGCGGTATGACAAGCTTGATCGTTGCAATCTGCCCCGTACTCGGAGCAATCCCGTTGATTCTTCAATGAATGGAGCCAAACCTCGTATTCTAGAGCCCTTTGGCAGTTGCTCCTTTGAATTAATACAAGACATTTCGGCTGCAAAGGCTTCAGCTTGCACAAGTTTGACTAATTTTAACAAACTTTCGCGTAATTCGAAAACTAGAAGAGGGCCCTTTCGGCGTTGCGATTTGTTTTCCTTGCGAGCGTTGTAGCGGTAGCGCTGAATCCAGACGTTGATGCGAATCAATTTGGTTAATGATGAATAGAGGTAAATGATTGAATCGCTTTTGATAACGACGTTTACAACAACATTATTTGATTTCGCTTCGAGTTCATCGTCGGTAAATGTGTGCGTATTCTTGTTGAGTTTCGGCCAGTTGCAGCTGTTTTGACGTAGCCAAATTGGGCCATTCCACCACAAATCGAACGATGATAGCTCTTTCGGTGATAAGCCACGAGTGGCGCAATCAGCCGGATTCTGCTTTGTGTCGACGTGATTCCATCTCTCTTTCGACGATTTTGATAAAATCTTACTCACACGATTCGCCACAAAGGTCTTCCAACGCGATGTGTCACCACCTATCCAATGTAACACAATCATGGCATCGCTCCAGAAGTACATTGGAACGTTGTTTGTATNACGATTCGCCCCAAAGGTCTTCCAACGCGATGTGTCACCACCTATCCAATGTAACACAATCATGGCATCGCTCCAGAAGTACATTGGTGCGTTCTTTGTATGAACATGAAGATTTCTCTTCGCCCATGATGCAATTCGCGTAGCTAATTCTGCTCCGCACAATTCCACTCTAGGAATTGTGCACATTGGCTTCGATGGTGTTGTTTTGCTTTTGGCGGTTAACAAACGTGTGTACACATTTCCATCTTCGTGTAAAAGACGGATATATACGGCGGTGGCAAATGCCATGTTTGCTCCATCACAAAATGTATGTAGTTGAACTGATTTGATGCGCGGCGAATAGTGAATCCATCTTGGGATAGATATATCGTTAATCGCAGGAAGCTGAGTTACAAATTCAGTCCACTCTTTGCTAATAGTGGTCGGTATCTTATCATCCCAACCGAGCGGGATGTTTTCAGAATTATGATTGTAGGTCCACACCTGTTTGAGAATGATTTTGGACTTCACGATGACTGGTGCTATAAAACCCAGTGGATCAAACAAACGAACAGTGGTTGATAGAATTGTACGTCTTGTTGCGATTGTTGGTAGCTCGAATCCCAATTGAAATTTGAATACGTCTCCGTTGGGTTGCCAGCCAATACCTAATGTCTTGACTACTTCGCCGCTGTGGAGTTCAAGTAAGGTGCCACTGTACTCATGTTCGAGCGGAAAGGATTCGAGTAATGCTGGGTGATTACTTGCCCAATTCNCCCCAATTGAAATTTGAATACGTCTCCGTTCGGTTGCCAGCCCGTACCTAATGTCTTGACGACTTCGTCGCTGTGGAGTTCAAGTAAGGTGCCACTGTACTGATGTTCGAGCGGAATGGATTCGAGTAATGCTGGGTGATTACTTGCCCACTTCCTCAATTCCATGCCCGCTGACGCGAGAGCTGCCTTCACTTGATCTCGTTTCTTGACGGCTGATGCTAGGGAATGGCCGCCAGATTGAACATCGTCAACGTACATTTCCTCTTTTAACACGTTCTCTGCCAGAGGGTTGTTTTTCATCATCGGCTATTCGATGAAGGACACTGATCGCAACAATATTCTTGTAAACACCGTTTGTTGTCACGCCACACTATCTTTTGATAAGGAATGTCATCCGGATGCATGTCGATACATCTGCAAATTTTTTGCACGTCAGCGTTGAACACGAGTTCGTAGAATCTCCAGTTCAAAATAACTGCTGGGAGTTCATTCTGAAGTGCCGGCCCTATGCATAGAATATCATTTAGTGATTTCCCATTTGACGTTTTCGCTGAGGCGTCGACTACAATACGAAGTTTCGTATAACCGCATGATGTGGCAATACACACGCAGTAACTGCTGATTGGTTTGTGCTCGTGGCAGTGAAACGTTCTTCTTCTGTTGATGTGGATGAAACTATTCGATTAAAGTCGAAATATTCTTGAATGCCAGCTGAATAACGTTGCATCAGTTCTTCTGAACGCAGTAAACGTTTTTCAAGTTGCAGAAGGATGGCCATTTGTTTAGATCGGCCCAAGGTCTGGTTTGGGTCGAAGTGAGTTTTGAGCGGCAGCCGTACCANATGGCCATTTGTTTAGATCGCCCAAGGTCTGGTTTGGGTCGAAGTGAGTTTTGAGCGGCAGCCGTACCATATATTTTCCCGTTGGTTGACGAATACAATGTTGATTGAAAACATCGATGAACCATTGTTCCTCCTCTGATCTAGAGCGCTCTTCTTGTATTTCCTCCGTCTCGAAGAAACGTTGAACTAGTGTTTACAAGTGTGGACTGATTGCGGTGTGATGACAACGAATGATGGCTGACGGGTCGACAGTTGGAGCTGCGGGAGCCACTTGACCATGATCACGCCGGCCGATGCGGATGTCTGGTAACAGAATAGACGCATGCATTTCTGTTCCAAACAACAAGTCAATTTTGTTGGACTTGAAGTAGGTGGGGTCTGCCAATACGAGACCGTCCATATGCGGCCACGCCTGTTGTTCTATCTGATTGCTGGGTAAGTCCGATGTAACTGTGTCCATTACAAAGGCTAATGGTACGAATGTCTCAAAGTGCGGATTGAGATTTGAACGTAGTTGAAAACTAACACATTCGGTGCTTGTACCAGAGCTTGCTCCTACGCCGCTGACGTCCGTGACAACTGGAGTGCGAAGTAAGCCTAATGCACGCACTGCGCGGCTTGTGATTAGTGTCCCCTCAGAGCATTGGTCTATAAGGGCCCTTAGAATCATTTTTCGACCAGTGTTTACGTTAACGACTGGGATTATTGCTGTTGCTAAGAGTACCTTTGCTGGCTACTGCGTTGTTCTCTCTGGTAAGAAGCTAGCAGTGTATGTTCGAACTTGTGATGCTTCGAATGTAGATAATGCTTGCGCTGACGATGTTGACAGAGGCTCTGCTTGTCTAGCCGCTGCTGAAATACCGCTGAAGGTGAAATGTGGTAAAGTGTGATGGCGTTTACCACAGGTTTTGCAGTTTGCTTTACTTGGACACTTTGATACGAAGTGAGTGTTACCTAGACAGTTTATGCACAGACGAAGTTGATCGGCGACTGTTTCCTTAGCAAAACAATCACGCGTTAGAGAGTCCGGGCAGGATCTAATGTGATGTGGTCCTTTGCATTCTGGTATGAAACACCTTTCTTTAGTTGATGACGTGGATGTGGAAACATGGTAGTACTTGCGTTGCAAATGAGGTTTTGACTGTACCGATTTGGGTTTGAGGTCCGTGGAATGTTTCGTCTTCACGTTTTCTTGGGGACAAGTTTGTTGTACTATTTGTCTGCTTCTCTCGATGTTCGTTACACTGATCAAGCGGTTGCTAAAAAACGTATCGAAATCTGAGTACGGGGGTACCGTTGTTTTAGACGCTAAATAGTGCTCCCAAGCTTCCAGCGTCTCCGGAGCACATTTCTTTACCGCAAAATGAGTGAGTAGATCGTTGATATGAGTAACATTGAGGCGAAGAAAATCTGTTGCGCAGCCCTTTAACATAGTTTGTAAATGCCTCATTTCGGTTGAGTTTTCCTTTGCCATGAATAGAATTGCAATAAACTCTTCTACTCGTTCCGCGAAGACTATCCGTGGGTTGTCATACCTTTCTTTAAGCATGTCCCAAGCGATTGGGTAGTTCGCTTCCGAAAGTGGCAATTCCAAAATATCTCTATGTTGGTCAACTTGCACCGCTGTTCGAAGATAATGAAACCGCTGAATAGAATTCAACTCTGGATTTTGGTGAATTATCCTCGTAAATGTGTCGCTAAAACTAGGCCAATCTTTTGCATTTCCCGAAAATGTTGGCAGTGGTATCTCAGGGAACTTGGTAGTAGTAGCGTTTTGAAGATGTGATACCAATGGCTGATGCAATTGTGACTGCTGCGGGGGTTGTGTCGGATACTTCTCATCTCTCATATCGGAGAGCTCGGAGAACACCTCATCGTAGTTGTCGATGAATGCACTGTATTCATCATTTGTGAAATAGTCGTCATCAGTGTCAGTGGCTGTGTTGACTATGATTTTGTGTCTAGTCAGAAATTCTTGCCGCCTTTCTTTTAAACCCTATAGCTTCATATCAAACAATCTTGCCGTCCGTCTGTCCTGAGCATATTTCTTAAACCTAGGAAGATATTCTTCAACAATTTTTGAACTTTCCCTTTGAAGCGCGATGAGGCTTTCTAGATTAAACGATTCTTCTATTCTAGAAGCATCCATGTCTGTCGATGTATATAAGTAAGTAGGGGTGCGGTTACGATATATGCAGGCGGTGAGGCGATTTGCTGTGTGACGATGTAGGTACACAGTTATTTGAGAAGAGCCGTTTGCAATGGAATGGTTGTTTTGATTACCAAATGATATTAGTGTGTAAAATTTGGTGCAGTTTTCTTCCCTCGCGTTGTATGTAGCAAGATTTCAAATGTCCTTTGTGTAGTCACTGATTCCCCTCATGGGCCACCAAAAAATATTTCTTTGCATTAAAAAAAAAAAACATTTGTGGATATGCAGTTCTTTTGGCGACGTTCAATTTTATTACATTGATCTTTATCGTGCTTATTTAGTTGTATTTATTTACTGGTAATTTTTTGTATAATTATTACATGTGTTTTAATAGATGATATATTCAAAAGTCAGTGCACACTAAAAACCTTGAAACGACCTTCTCCCATTACTCTCTCCGACTCATTCCTAATAACTCCGAATTCTCCACTCACTAGCTGCAAAAGCGGCAACCTTGCGCAAGCAAACAAACGTCAAGTGAAAGGCACTTGACACAAGACGAACAGCTGTCAATGACAAAGAATAAAAATAAAAAACATAAGGGTAAAATTGTAAGTTTGCGTCAGTTCTGAATTTGATGGAGTCTTTTGCATCTAAAATTTGGAATACATTTTGAATACTTCTTTAAGTCTACATCAGTAAGAGGTCTTCTGGGTAGCTTCATTAAGAGTTTTTTGTATGGTTTTAAATATAATCCGAATCCCTTTTTATCAGGCTTTAAAAACACTCCTTTTCCCATTGAAATAGCTTCCATTGTATTATTATGACGTTTCGCCTCCAATAACTGCTCCTTTCCAGTTTTTATAGCATTGATTGTTTTAATAATTCCTGCTGTACCGCCAGATAGACTTCCAAGTGCTCCTAATGCTACGAATAAAGGCGCTAATGGGAGAAATCCTCCAGATTTAGGTAATGATATTACACGTGGTGCTTTTATTATAGACTTTTTCCCTCTAAAAATATTATTTACAACCTTTCATGAAATTTATATTGCATCTTTTAAGTTATTACTTTTCTTTAAATTTTGTTTAGCACTTTTTAAAGCATGTTTGAAGAGCTGACAACCAGTTTTTCTTCCCGCTTTCTTAGTTTCACTATAAATGTTCCCCATACCGAATTTCGCTTTTGTTTTCATTATATTTGTAACTAACCAGGCATTTGTTTTCTCATTA